TCTAGCTCACTGGTTTTCTCACCTGTGTCTAATTGTTTTAATCCAACGAGATTTTAAAAAATTGAGTCTATTTTAACACTTTCTTTTCTGGAAGTTTCTCTTTTCAAAATCTGTTCATTTCCCCAAAAAATCTTCCTTAAAAATACATTTTATAAATAGCTATTCTACTTAAGTCCCGGGGAGGGTGAGGTAGTGGGTCTATATTTGTTGTTCATTGTTTCTGCTTTCACTCATTGTGGTTTGTTCTCTTATGTCATTCATCTTTGGTCATGAACTAATTTCTTGATCTTAATTGTGCTGATCCTGTTTCTGCCTATAGCCAGCCTGGGACCTTTAGTTTCTTGAAGACCTTTCTTCAACTTTCCCACCTCACCATCATCCGATGGCACATTTAACATGCTAACATGTCTCCAAGCATCTGACCTCAAGGAAGTCCCGTCATCCCAGTTGCTACTGCTTTGCTCCCAACTAATTTTGGGGTAGAAGATCCAAGATAACTCTCCTGCCGTTTTTGAGACTGGCAGTGCCTCAAAAAACTGGTCCCATGCAGGATATTTTTGTAAAACTGGAAATAAAAGTGGTAGGTCTCTAAATTTAATTCTAATCTGTTCTCAGTCAAAATCCTAATGGTGTTTAAGTTTATCCAACTTTTACAAATTAAAATGATTATAATTTTTTTTGCAGAGTGAACAGTTATGCAATTCAGAGGCTCAGTAACTAAACTGTGGTAGCATAACTAATAATTTGGAAGAAAAGGAAGCTGGCCCCTACCTACCTCATACCATATATAAAAATATCTTTAATACATCTGTAATTTTAGTGTAAAAATAATATATCTGGATTTTAAGTGCAAAAAATATATAAGAATATTTTATCATCTTGATGTGAAAATACTTCCTAAACAAGGCAAAATATCCAGACACCAAAAAGGAAAAGCCAGACATATGACTACAAAAAATTTAAAATTTTAATGGGGAAAAAAGACAATAAACCTCAAAAGACAGATTATTTTAAAAAATTTCCAGAACAAAAAGCCAACATTTAAAGAAACGAACCAAAAAAAAAAAAAGAAAAAAAAAAAAAAGAAAGAAAAGAAAAGAAAAAGAAAAGGAAAAAAAAAAAGCATAAATTGATGAAATAAATAAATAAATAACAACCAAAAATTGACCAGGCAACTCACATGGCAAACAAATATAAGATAATCAACTTCACTTATAGTATGGGAAATGCAAATTAAAGAAACAAATGATCATTTTTTAAAATTAAGATTAATTTAAAAATCTGACGGAAATAATATCTAATGCTGGTGAAAATAGGAAGTCATATTTTAAACTCATAGAAATGTGACTTGCTCTAACAATTTTTGGAACAGTTATCTGGTACTATCTATTAAAATTAAAACCACTCCTTTTGACTGTATCTTCTGACCCCGCAATCCCATTTTAGGAGCTCTACCCTTTAGAAAAAGAAGCACAATCATATAGGCTGTATGAGTATAAACAGGATAATTACTTCAGCATTGCTCATGGTGGAAAAAGGCTATAATCATCTGAATCAACAGGAGAGTACTTATAAAAATTATGATATAGTTATACTAATGAATGCTGTACAGCCTTTAAAAAAGAATGAGTTAGCGTATATCTATCTAATGACCTAGACAGGTGCTCATGATGCATTAAGAAAAATCAGTTGCTGAGTAAAATGTGTAGATGACCATATTTCATAAAAACGAATCCCTTAAATCCTCTACGTGTCCCCATTTTGATGAGCATAAAGGAGACAGAATAATATATAATAAGCTTTGATCTCTCAATAGTTTGGGTGGAGGGAGAGAAACTTTCTTTTTATCTTTAAATCATATCTAAAAGCTTTGTAATTGAAAAAAGAATATTACAAAACTCATAATTGGATATAATATTCATGTGTAAATGACTTATAACTTGATTTTTGAACTGGCAAATCAGTTTCAACTGTTGACTTCTACACAATTATATACAAACTAAGTTAACAAGTGATATATATATATAGATAGTATTTGTAACACAAAATGTTAATATCCAGAATACATAAATAATTATAAAGAAACAAAAATTCCCATTTGGTGACTACTAAAAATCACTGAATTACACATTTGAAAGGGTGAGTTTTATCTTAATAATTAAAAAATTACTATAAAGAAAAAATAAAGAATGGGCCAAGGACTGAGGAGCCAACTTAAAAAAGAAAACCAAATTGATTTTCCAGAAAAACCAGTTTGTATGCTGATAATTATAGGAGGAAACAATGATGGCAACACCAGGCGACACCAGAATTGCTAGAGCATCTCCGTGGGAAGGTGAGAAACAATCATAAGAGATTCATGTTAACTGAGAACACGGACAATTCATAGAAACAGAGGGGAGAGGACAGCATATGGACAGTGATGCTGTCAGATGTGCTACTAGAAGTTTGTGGACGGTCTCCTCAGATGGCTTCTGTTATCTCAGTAAAAAAGAAGAAATAGGTAGCACAGACAGATGTCAGGGGAGGTGGTATTGGTTGGATAACTTATATAGGGAGAGTGAACGAACCATGGAAATGTAATAAAATTTCTGGGCAGTATTAAGGCTCATTTGAGTTTATACTTACAAATTTAAAGTGAATCTGGTGATCAGGGCTTCATATTTTTCTCTAAGCACATTCAGCTTCATTGGTGCAGAGCAGGCAGTCAGATTTAATAAGGATTTGAGTTTTACTAAGCAAATACAACAAAAAATGGAGTTGAGGGAGTATACAAGGGAATGATTATAATAATGTACTTCAAACTTAAGATTAGCAAAGAAATGAGGGCATGGAGGGGAGAGGTACTGTGAAAAGGCACTAGGATTAGTGGATTGCAGATCCTGGTGAGTTCTGAGGATTGTGGAAGTCAAGGGCCTATAAGGAGTAAGCTAGAGAAAGACAGGAGGAAGTGAGAGAACAGGATGCTTGAAACTGAGACTAAGAAAGGACTTTAGTTATTGGTAATGACAAAGGGGTGAACAGCTTAGACTGATCTTGCTAATCAAAACGATGAGCAGAGAGGTCAAGGACTGACAAGTGGCAATTGGACAGTGTTAGTAAGACAGAGACTAAACTCTCCAGGAGCAAGAAGGAGTGAACCAGGGATGGTGAATGACTGTGGGTGGTATAGTCTGATGATTATGAAAAATTTAAAGCTGGGGGGTTTTAGGGAGGAGCGAGGAAGAGAATAGCCTGTGAGTGGCACTTCAAAGGTAATAAAAACCATAAAAAAGAAGCACTAAATGAGAGGCTGTAGAAAAGAGCCAGGGTTCAGTAAGAGCAATCGATCTCAGACTTTAGTGTGTGCGAGAATCGCCTGTAGGGCTCAACTATGGAGGATTTCTGACTTACAAAGTCTGAAGTCTGAGAAGTTGTGTTTCTAAAGAGTTCCCAGTTGATGATGATGCCACTGGTCCATGAACCACACTTTCAGAATAACTCAGAACAAAAAGAGGAAAGAAACAAGCAAAAAGGTTGACTGTGTAGGGAATGGTGTCGATGACTTAAGAATTCCAGAAAACACAATGAGAAGGTTTTAGGAGTTGGAGAGGGATGAGAGAAGCCAGCAAAGGGGTCCTCACAAAACCAGGTTTTATTTGAAGTTAGTTACATGCAAGAATTGAAGAGAAGCCAAGCAATCTTTCACTAAAAAAAATGTATAATATAGGAAGAATCAGTTATGAACCGATATGTTTCTCTGCTAAGCTGACTTCAACCAACTTACAAAAAGTTTGAGTATCTATAATGTGCCAGGCCCCTTACAGACTAAGTAAGTGTCAAGTTGGTTAAACTAAACACGGTAACCATAACATAGCTTTTTATAATCTTTTATAATATATCTAGATAATTATATATATACTTTTTCAGGAAAATAACATGATACACACTGTTTAGTAAACACGTACTAATTTCTTTGTTAAAAATATAGTTGAATAACTATCACTTTAATTCTGGCTGTTTCATGAAGGTAATACCACCATTTTAGCTGCTTAATCATGTTTTGAATCAAGTTTTTTCAAAAATAAAAAAGATATTTCAAAAATCTATCATACTAATTATAAAGATAAATGAGGTCAAGAAAATTTCCTTTTTCTCTTTCTCTCTATAATACACACACACTGAATTTTACTGTAGATGGTATTAGAATAGTGACCAAATCATGTTACACTTCAAGAGCTCAAAATCTTTAAAATACATGAAGCTGATACACATGATTTATATATAATCACAACTTAAAAATGACAAAACAAAAAATATTTTACAGAATATTTAAATAAAAAAGACTTACTATAGTTAAATAAAATATTTAAACATTGATTGTTATCACATATATATATTAAGAAATGTCTCATAAGTTCATATAGAAACTTACATAAATAATTAAGATTTATGGTTAGTTATTTTGTCTCAAATTCAAACAGCTTTCAAACCAGAGGTAATACTTCCTTAAACTAAATTTCCATATAGGTTTTAAGAGTATAGAACCAGCAGGGAATCTTGTGTAACCTGATATTCAGGGAAACCAGGTTGATATTTATTAGAAGTTCTAAATATTTTTGAAGACAGACAAATATTTGCTTTAAATGTTAAAACAGGAACTATGTTCTTGATACACTTTTATATAGTCTTCATTTTTAAACAAGCAAGGACTATCTCTTTTGAGTTTTCATTGCTTAGAACATGTCCTGTAATACACAGCAGACAATTATTGTAGAATGAATAACATCTGGGAATTTATTCAATTTTTAGGATTCCAAAATTATAAAATTTCCTGTAAATGATGTCATTAAAAAAATGAACATACAGCTATTTTAAAAATGTAAGTGAAAATTGTTTAATCACTTTAGAGCAGTCAAAATACAATATAAGATTGGTACCTGAAAGCAATCATTTTACCATATGCATTTTAACCTTTTATATCATTCATTTAAATTGATGGTTAATTTAAAAACTGAGTTTTAATCAAAGTTGTTTTCAAACATTGTCATAATGTCACTCTGAAGAGTCATATCAATGGTACCCGCCATCTGTAGAAAAGAGGAGAAAATTTTAATGCTATTTTAAAAATGTATGCCTTTACTACATCTGTATAAAAATGATTATGCAATATTTGTGAACAGTTAATACAAATGAAAACAATTTATTTAACATAATGAATTGAAAGAGAAAACTTTCAATGTTTACAGAGTGGGTGTTAATAAGAACATGAACTGAGAGCACACAGTTTTATTTATTTCTGTAACCAACATAATGCTAGACACACGGATTATTTTCTTAATGAACCAATATCTTCCCTATGTGAGAGAACTATAATATGTAATGTTACTGCCTTTGATTCTGCCACTTACTAACTGTGTCACCTAAGGCAAATTATTTAACCAAGTCTATTCTATGTATTGGTATTTATGAAGATCCAATCAGATTACATGTACAACACTCAGCACAATGCTTTATTAAATGCTAAATGTCTATTAGGAATAAGCTGAAGTAGAGAAAAAGCTAATTAAGAGAAACGAAACAAATGTTTACTATATTCTGAAGCCTTTTCTAAATGCCCTTGTTATACACGCTAGATATTTCTTGGCATCTGAAATGACATCAAATATCAAAGTCCAGAAAATGTTGTTGTTGTTGTTTTTAATCAATAAATAGCAATAGACCAGAGTGGTAGATAAAAGCACCAACTTGTAACCAGTTGGTTAGTTTCCTGGATGGAAATCAGCATTCTCATTGGCTGTGTGGGAAAAGATTTGGAATTACGATTTACCTACCAAAAACAAATTTAAAAGGTATGTCTGACTCTTACAAACTACAAAAATTTCTTAAAATTTGCCTTAGAGACAAAAGGATACTTCTTAAACCCTAACCCAGGCTACTATCCTAATGCCCAACTCCTAGAATGACAAATGTCTAGCCTGGATAGTTCTTCAAAGTTCTATTTTAGGCCTCCACTATAAGAATTGGATGTGGCTCCTTGTTTCCTCTTGCCACGTGATCTCCTTGTACCCTCCAGCTGCCCTGCCTCTTTCCACCATGAGTACAAGCAGCCTGAGGCCCATGCCAGATATAGCTGTCCCCAAATCATGAGCCAAATAAACCTCTCTTCTTTATAAATTAAAAAAAAAAGTTGAATACATTGTCCTAGTCTAAATATCATGTGATACTGCTATAAGTATCCAGACATACCGCAAAATTTAAAGCATATGTAATGAAACCTATCTTTGTTTAAAGGTTGTATATATAGGCTTATTTTAGATTCTCCTCCATTTTGACTAAAATCTGTGTATGTGGAATAATTATTGATAAAGAACTGGTTATTCTCTATACCAATTAAACTTAGTTAACCATAATTAAATACTAACTAATGCTCTCTGCAGCTGACACCATAAGCAGGATATTCCTTAATACACACTTCAATCATTCAAATTTAAGTTCAAAAACTTGTTCAAGGGAACTGGCATCAGATGAACTTTTGAGAGCTCTGCTAAGTGTCAAGATATTATAGCTTTTTAGAGTACAGACCTATCAACTAGCACCAAGATAAGAGGTTGGGTTGTTAAGAACGATAGCAGGTAGATCCAAGGTCAGGTTGTTAGTTATGGAGCTGCTAGACGTGACATTATTAGTCACATTTCAGCAGTTTCCAAGTCTAGTCAAATTCCAGACAAGTGGAATTATATCAGGTTACCTAGCTGGGTTGTTAGGTGGCACTTAGTTGTTGTGAAATCACTTGGGGGTGATTGGAGTCAGACAGACCCTTGTGAATGCCAACAGGAAAAATTCCTCAGTTACTAGAAAAGACTTTTGGTCAAGTACTAATGAAATTTTAATAAAAAGTTCCTAAACACCATTAAAAAAAAAAGACAGTATCAACAAGTTGCTGTTTGAATTTAAATTAATTAAAAATTAATAAAGTTTAAAATTCTATTCCTTAGTTGCATTAGCCACATTGCAAGTGCTCAATAGCCACATGTGCTAGTTGCTACTGTATTTGACTGGGTAAATAAAGAATATTTCTATTACTGTAGAAAGTTCTATAAGACCACACTGTTCTAAAGTAAACTCCACCATATTTTACTACACTGTTAAATGCAATTTGTTTCTACTTTAGTTTTATAAAATATGAAGCTGTCAAAACTTTGTATTCATTTTTTCCAAAGAAATTCGTTTGTACAATAACCAAGATCACAGCCAAAGCCAGTATGTCCTATGAATTCACATGTCTTTTCCAGGATTACAAAAATATCCAGCACCCAACAGGGCAAAATTCACAGCATTTGGCATTAATGATTGCCAAGTGTGCAAAGAAGCAGAAAAACACTATGCATAAAGCAAAGACTAATCAATCAACTGAAACTGACTTGGAACTGACAGAGATATTAGAATTAGCACAGAATCCCATTAAAACAGTTGTAACTATATTCCACTTTTTCAAAAATTTGAGAGATTAAAAAAATATATAAAAAAGACCCAAATCAAACTTCTAGAGATAACTACAATGTCTGAGATGATAAACACACTGGATGGAATTAACAGAAGATTAGACACTGAAGACAAGATTGGTGAATTTATCCAAAATTGAACACGAAGTAAAAAAAGAATTTAAAAAATTAAAAGAGCATAAGTGAACCATGAGACAACTTTAAGTGGCCTAACACACGAGTAATTGGAGTCATCAAAAGTGGGTGAGGGAGACATTTGAAGAAATAATGGCCAAAATTTTTCCAAGCTTGATGAAAACAACAAACACAAATCTCCAATAAACTCAACCAATCACAAGAAAAATGAAGAAAACAATTTCTGAAGCCCAGTGATAAAAATCCTCAGAGGAAAGACATGTTATATGCAGAGGAACAAAGGCAAAAATATCAGATTTCTNAAGTTGAAAACATATCCACACAAAAACCTACACACAAATGTTTATAGCAGCTTTATTCATATTGCCATAAGTTGGAGGCAACAAAGATATCCTTCAATAGGTGAGTGGAGAACTAAACTGTGATCTCTCTGTACAATGGAATATTGTTCAGGCTAAAAGGAAATGAGCTATCACAATAGCCAAGATATGGAATCAACCTAAGTGTCCATCAGTGGCTGAATGGGTAGAGGAAATGTGGTATATTCACACAATGGAATACTGTTCAGTCTTAAAAAGGAAAGAAGGAAATCCTGTTGTTTGCAACAACATGGACAAACCTGGAGGACATTATGTTAAGTGAAATAAACTAGGCACAGAAAGACAAAGTATCACATGATCTCATTTATATGTGGAATCTAAAAAAGCTTAACCCATAGAAGCAAAGAATTGAATGGTGATTACAAGGGGTTTGGGGGGGGATGTGGGGAAGGGAGAAGGATTATTCAAAGGATACAAAATTTCAGTTAGACAGGAGAAATAAGTTCAAGAGATCTAATGTACAACATGGTGACAACAGTTAATAACAAGGTATTATATACTCAAAAATACTAAGGGAATAGATTTTAAGTGGTACAACAACAACAACAAAAAATGATAAGTATTTGAGGTAATGCATATGATAATTAGCTTGATATAGCCATTTCACAATGTACACATATTTCAAAATATCATGTTGTACACCACGAACATATACAATTTTTATTTGACAGTTAAAACAATTAATTAGAAAAAAAGGGGGCCGGCCCGTGGCTTACTCGGGAGAGTGCGGTGCTGATAACACCAAGGCCGCGGGTTCGGATCCCATATAGGGATGGCTGGTTGCTCACTTTGGTGAGCATGGTGCTGACAACACCAATCCAAGGGTTAAGATCCCCTTACCAGTCATCTTAAAAAAAAAAAAAAAAAAAAAAAAAAGAAGAAGAAAAGAAATGAGCCATCAGGCCACAAAAAGACACAGAGGAACTTTAAATGCATATTGCTAAGAGAAAGAAGACAATCTGAAAAGGCTACATACTGTATGATTCAAACTATATTGACATTTTGAAAAAAGAAAAATTATGGAGACTGTAAAAAGACTTGTGGTTGCCAGGGTTTTGGGAAGGAGGGCTGAATAGGCTGAGTACAGAGGACTTTTAGGGCAGGGAAACTATTCTGTACAGAANAAATCCTCAGAGGAAAGACATGTTATATGCAGAGGAACAAAGGCAAAAATATCAGATTTCTTATTGAAAACAATGCAAGCAAAGACGCAGTGAAGGAATTTTCTTTAAAGTACTGAAAGAAAAATATTAACAATCTAGAATTCCATATCCAGCAAAATGTCTTTCAAAAAATGAAGGCAAGTTGAAAACATATCCACACAAAAACCTACACACAAATGTTTATAGCAGCTTTATTCATAATTGCCATAAGTTGGAGGCAACAAAGATATCCTTCAATAGGTGAGTGGAGAACTAAACTGTGATCCCTCTGTACAATGGAATATTGTTCAGGCTAAAAGGAAATGAGCTATCACAATAGCCAAGATATGGAATCAACTTAAGTGTCCATCAATGGCTGAATGGGTAGAGGAAATGTGGTATATTCACACAATGGAATACTGTTCAGTCTTAAAAAGGAAAGAAGGAAATCCTGTTGTTTGCAACAACATGGACAAACCTGGAGGACATCATGTTAAGTGAAATAAACTAGGCACAGAAAGACAAAGTATCACATGATCTCATTTATATGTGGAATCTAAAAAAGCTTAACCCATAGAAGCAAAGAATTGAATGGTGATTACAAGGGGTT